TTCGCACTGGGTACACCCATATAGCTCTACCAATTCCGATTAGTTCCAAGAACTGGAATCGGTGCATCCCTACTCAAAATCTTCGAATTCAGTTCTTTCGATTAGAAAAAATTTTATCGCATGACGGAGATAGAGAAAATGAACTGGACAACTATTGTTTCCTTTCTTATGAAAACCTTTCTTAATCAGAAGAGGATGCAAAATAAGTCGATACTATTGCTAATGAATTTGGAAATACTTTTATGATTTCGATCAATTTCTGTACTCTACACTTATCTGTAAAAGTACCCCTTTGTTACTAATATTTAAAAATAGTATCTTTCTTTCAAATGTAATTCTAGCTTGTATTTGGTCGGAACGTCCACCATCATGCCTTCGATTAACTGAATTTGCATTATTAGATTCTTCTATTGAATTAGATGTTGATAATATTAAATCTATTCTTCCTTTTATGCCAAATTTAATCAAGTTAACATTAAGTATTCGTGATACATGTGATACAATGTTTTGTTATGGTCCATATTTGGAATCAATATTAAATGAATATTTACCACAACTTCGCCAATTTGATTATACAGTGACACATAGAGTTGTTGATCAAACCGTCATTGAAGATTTTACTCGATGGCCAATGCATGTTGTTTTCAATGAAAATAAAGATTATAAATGGGTTCATATATATTCATTACCATGGCCTTCAAATAAAGATGATAAAAGACGATTACCTATTGTTAAAGGTGAATGTAATACATCAGTTCGATCAGATGTTAAAATATTTGAATGGATAGATCATGTATTGATAACAAAACCAAGTGAATTAATTCAATTGAAGACACGTTTTCATCGAGCACGTAAGATATCAACTGATATATCAATTCATATGGCATTACCTGAATGTATTCGTAAAATCATTTTTAAAAAACAAATTTGTAAGATACCTTTATCAAATAATGAGATTTTTGATAATTTTATTTTATTTACAAGTTCAACCAATGTAGTAGTTCAACCTTTTGTTCGTCATTTAGTTGTTCAATATTATTTAACTGATGCAGAAGAAATCTCAAATTTTGCTCATCAATTTCCTTATGTTAAATATTTAGAATTATTATTTTCATCAAATGAAAATTTATTTCTTGAGTGCTTTCAAACATTATTTAGTGTCTATGATTATATTAGTACTAAGCGTCGGTTTTGGCCTTGTTTAATAAGCTTTTCAACAAGATTCTTGTATGACGGACTAGATAAAAAGTTAACTAATCTTGATATTCATTATTGGCTTACTCGAAATACTGACCTAAAATTTATGAAACATCAGTTTTGCGTTAATTGTTCTAATTCCATATTATCGATTTGGTTTTGACTTGTTAAAGATGATAATTTTCTTTTTACAAAAGATCTATAGTGAAGCGCAAAATTTTAAGATACTTTTTATTTTATTAATTTCTCTGAAAGTATATGCCAGTGAAATGGATCTTTAGGATGATATGTATTACTGGACGATGGGCTTCAACCGAACTAATTATTTCCTGCTGATTTGCACATATATTATTCAGAGAAAGAGCAGAAAACATTTCTTTCCCTACAGTCAAAAGTTTAAGACACTTTTATTATCTTATAGATTTTTCTCATTATCGAGACAAAGAAAAAATTTTGATTATATACTGTCAGATACAGAATTAAATGGACTAGATTTTGGTATAAAAATTTTCTTTAAAAATTATTGACTGTGATAAGGAAATATTGAAACAAGTATTAATGATCACCAATGAACATTAATTAATAAAAATAGAATATATTTTTGGATTATTTTCTGTGTTCAAGTAAACCATTAGAAAGCTCATTGAACAT